TGGTTATTTTTATAGAAAAAAAGTGCGTATTATACACGGGTAAATACGGTAACCCAAACATATTGACTGGAGCTTATTATTTGAGCGTGGTCTATCTGTGGAGGAGGTGGCTGAAAAAGTCCAGAGAAAGATCGGTAAAGAATGAATACACAATTGTCGGATTAAGATCCTGAAGTTGTACTTGCGCCTTAGCAAAAGACCCAGTGATATGGGTAGAGAGAGGACAAGAAGCCATGTTACAATGTTCTTAATACAATAAATGGTTTGAACCTGGGGGTAACATGTGATATTGTTATATACCTAGAATTTAACTCAACAAAACGAGCACTGTGATTGGCTGATTCTTGGTCACGTGCCCCTGATCAAATTCATCAGGACTCTCGGGAAAATAAAACTAACTGTTTCCCTCGGGACCATACATTAAGTGTAGAGTGTTGTCTGATCGTCCGGATGAGTGTAATCCTGAGAAGGACTGTTATCAGTAGTCACCACTACCGACAACAGCTCTTCTCAGGTCTCCACTCACCTGGACGATCGGACTACTCTATTACATAATGTTCTTAGTAATAATCAACGAATGTAGTCTATTTCACCTCTGTTAAAATGTGATGAGCATCAAATAGTCGAGGAGGACCTATCACATTTTTGTTCCAATTCCGGTCTGATTTTTAGGTTGGAGATTGCAATTAAATTTTCATATGAAAGGTCTAAAGGAAGATAACTAAACAAAAGCAAAAAACAGAATAATCGCTCAAAGGTAAACTCTAAATTTGTAATTTTCCCTGAGAAAACGTTTTTTTTCGGCTTACGTATAATCAGCCACACCGGTCCTACTCTTGGGTACCTCCCATCATCGTGGTGTATTCAATGAAACTTGATTTAAAGTTGTCTCTGTAAATAGTTTCATGTAAAAGCTGAAAAATGAACCGCAAACTTAGTAGCGTTATAATTTTAAACGGGTCAGTTTAATTGTTAAAATTCACTCAGCAGCAAGGCCTTATCTCATTTACGTGCAATCTCTTCCTCTGGCGTAGCTGGTCATGTCCACGCTGTTTAGTCCTTCGCTCCAAAGCTGAAATCAAGGTATTTTACGTCATATCTAGATTTCGACGAGGAAAATTTTGTTTTTCTGACATAGTACGGTATCATCATTCTCACGTAAATACTTTGGATAATGGAACGAGAATTCGATACTAGATTCTAAATCCCACACCTTTGTCGTCTCAATTTTGTGATTAAGGTGATTTCTCAGTTTTGCACTGCGCATCTCATACTGCGTGTAAAAATTACCTAGTCAGGAGAATGAGTACCCGTGCATTCTGAGAACACGGTATTGTTATCAATCCATGGACCGGGTAGAGAGGAACGATACTCTTTAGCTCTCGAACGAGCAGAGTGACCTAAATTCTTTTGCATGATTTTGGTGTACAATTTATCCCCTTTAAAATTGGGAAATTTAAAAAAACTCTTCGAAGAGAAAAAAAAAAGATAAAGTTAAGAGCCTGCCCGTTACTCCAGGATGCAAATTTACGACCTTGAAAGGAAAGACTCGTGGAACGTTTTGAGTCGATGTCATTTCAATTTGCGTGATTTTCCCACAAATTATATATCCACTTGTTGCCTATGCTCGACACTTCTGCCCATCAAGTTTTTCCAAGAGTTGCTCGAAAAGCCCTCCCAGCCCCAGCACTGTGAACCGATGAATTGATGCGCTTGATTAGTGCCAGTACAGGCATAAATGGGGTAAGTTTGGCCCACTTAATCTCCTGGAAAAGCACGGTAACAGATCTTTTCTTATTGTATTTTCGAAACAGAAATTGACGAGGAACACTAAATGAAAGTTTAAAAGAAAATTGTTCGATAATCTTTCTTTCTAAGAAATCAGCTCAAAAGATGAGTAACACGAGTTGAGGTGAACCAGCCGGAGAAATCTACGGAAAAAACCTTCATGCGATCACGCCCTTCATTTTTATTTTCATTGCCGAGAGCCTAATTTGCAAAGATTTTTCTGCATCAAAGCGTCGACAAGCTTCGCGCAAGGTGCATATTACAAGAGGCCGAGTGGCCAGTTAAAAGTTGAGGGTACTGACGAGCCTGCATGACACTCCTGCCATCCGCAAGCGATTTTAAACTTCTGTCTTCAAAGATTAGATCTGACCGGGATTTATTTTAATGAATTTTTTTTCTGGTGTAATTTTGAATAAAGTGCCATTTTCCCACCAGTGTGTTCTTGAGGTTCGGTAAAGCCGCGTGGTTTTGCATGACAAAAGGCAATCTTTTCTTCTGTGTGCTGTTTTCTTTGTTTATTAAGTGACCCTTCTCTACTGGAGCAGATAACCCCAGACCTGTATTTCTCCAGAACTTCGTCAGGTATCCGTTATCCCCTTCTTTAGTCGTATTTTTTAGCTCTGAACGTTTTTTTATTAAATGTGGAGCGCGTCGCAAAAAAGTGTTTACAGACCGGCACGATTTCTACTAAGCGTTGAGTTAATATGAACGAATTTCTCCGTAGAGGCGTGGGGTTGACAAGGATCTTTTAAGATGCTACATCAAAATCATTCATAAAAAATTGAAGGTTTTGCTAACTAAACCTTGCAAAAGATTTTGACAAAAAAAATCAAACCAGATTTTAGTGGTTCGTTTTATACCTAAACTACTATTCATAACACTCATGATGATATGCGAAGTTGAAATACATTTAATAATGGGTATGTCATGGCTAGTTGAGCAGTCTCTCGGGTATTTACATAATTTCCGATATTAAATTCTGGTTTGGCGTGAATATGATTCATTCTAGCTCAATTTTCAGCGGCACCACGAAGAGGTGAACGGCCCAACCTCCCCCCCCTGAAAAATTCCCGTTGGTCGTATCGTATCTTGAGCACTTTTGTCCCAGCTTGGCTTAGCCCGCTGATCAGTCATTTTTCCCATACCTTATTACAACTGAGCATGTGGATGAATGTTGACGAATCGAATACCGTTTTAACTTTACTGATTTCTCTTTATTTAACAGCCTTACGTGCGTGAACATTGTGTTGCGCTTATTATATCAGAAATATCATTTTTATGTAAAAAAAAAAAAACAAAACAAATAAATTCTTGAGTACGTAACCAATGCATCTTTCTGAGAATATTGGGAAAGAAAGCACAAAAAATTGAACTAGATCTTCCCTAATTTGGGATAGCTCTTTTTTTAATTTTAATGAAATAGCGGATAGAGTACTTTCTCTTCTTTTTTCTATTAATTTAAAAAGTCTATTAAAAAACTTTTAGCTCTGTTCCCTTCGAGCAGTTCTCATCATTCACCCTGTCGGGGTCTCCTTTTCTGTCAAAAGGTGAAAAACAACGGTTATTATTAATTCAACTAATATTTTATACACAAAGCAAATACAATTATACCAAGCACAATATGTAAAAATATAAATGGCTAACACCTGTGTCTGATTGGCAGAGAGGCAGCTTCGCGATTCTATGTTTTCTCCAGAGAGCGTCTGTAGCAACTCTACATATATATATGTATAATTATATATGGATATATAATTATATATGATATGTGGAAACGACAAAAAATTAACCTACACTTAACGCAAGAAACCTGTAACTCACACCGTACAGAACAGCCGCAAAAACAGACAAAGAAACATAATTTGGTTTAATCCGCCCTACAGCATGAACGTACAAACAAACATCGGCAGAGAGTTTCTGAACCTCGTCAGTAAACATTTTCCGAAAGCCACAGGTACAACAAGACTTTCAACAAAAACGACATAAAAGTTTGTTATAGCTGCACAGACAACCTACAAACCATAATTAAGAAACACAACAGAAAAATCCTCGAGACAAGCAAGACACCCTCCACAGAAAACAACTGTAACTGCAGAAAAAAAAAACGACTGCCCTCTGAAAAACAACTGCCTCACTTCAAGCGTCGTCTACAACGCCAACGTAACAACAGAAAATGACACAACCGGAAAGAATTACTTTGGACTAACTGAAGGAACTTTTAAACAACGTTACACGCAACACAAACTTTCTTTTCGGAACAGAAACTATTCAAACAGCACGGAACTATCAAAGCATATCTGGACACTCAAAGACAACAACACCAATTTTACAATTAACTGGAGTATTTTAGCGATCGCCCCGGTCTAGAGCAACAAAAGCAAGCGGTGTCACTTGTGCCTCACAGAAAAACTTTATTTAGTTAGAGCTAAGAAGCCGTCTTAATTAAACAAAAGAACAGAACTCATTTCTAAATGCCGCCACGAGAATAAGTTTTGCTTAGCAAATTTCACAAGCCGCCAACAATAGCTCTATAGAATTTTTCTTTCACATGTAGATTAGATCATCACACTAGTGAATTAATTAGCTTCTTATCTAATTTGTCTATAAGGAGGTATGTTCTTCATTGAATAAAGTTCTGTCTGACGAGCGCTTACGCGCGAAACTCAGAGTCAAAGAGAATCGATGCGTCCTCTTTAATTCCTTTACTTATGATTACTTAGCTCTGTTACCACAGCATTGAGCACTTAATGCTAAGGTAGACTCTACCTCCACATTCATTTATATATATATATATATATATATATATATATATATATATAGATAGATAGATAGATAGATAGATAGATAGATAGATAGATAGATATAGATAGATAGATAGATAGATATAGATAGATAGATAGATAGATAGATATAGATGTCATAGTAGCCTTGATGCTCAAGGTAACAAAGGATCACCGCCTACAGACAGGAACCAGTAAACCATAGCCACCTTCGCATCCAATTTAACTTCAAATTTAGAAATATCTTTTCGGACTGAGTCTTACCTTTGCTTGTCAAACTCGAGCCTCACATCATCTCCAATCAGCGTAAACGAAGCCTACTCAGACACGTTAGTCAAGCCGTTTTTTTCTCATCCACTTCATAGCCTGATGAAGGGATTTACTGGCACTTTCTCCTTCAACAAGGTGTTCGTAGAACCGATTCATCAGCTGCTCTGTTGCTGAGTCTGAAATGGCCCACAGCGCAACCAACACCGAGCGAGCTCCGGATCCTAAGAACGCGCGGGCAATTCCTATAACTCCCTCGGCTCTTATGTCTCCACTTCCACTGTGACAGCAGCTAAGTACCACCAGTTTGGCTCTGACTCTCACTTGTGAGACATCGGCCATTGTCAACATGTAAGCTTCCTGTGGTGGGATGGTGTTTCGACTGTTGGGAGTAGGAAAGGGGAAAGGGCAATTTCTCCCCTTTCGGCGTTACCATGGGCAGCAATATGTATCAGGCTCACTGAACTTATCCGCTCAAGTACCGCCTGCTTCGTTGCTTTCTCGTCTACAAGAGGCGGAACACCTACCAGTCGTCCGACCACATCCGCTTCCTTTCTTGCACATGGCAATGGCAGCAGCCAATCAACCTTGAATGATCCTGAGTGTCGTCAAAGAAGGAATGACACGAATCCTGTGAGTCTCCGATAGGTATTGGGCTCCCTCTTTTTCACTCAGGGCAGCGAAGGAAATGCAATTCCGAAGAATGCAAAAGATGCCATTAAGTTTGGCGTATCACTGTTCAAAAGAGGAATATGAAGTTTTTGCTGATTGAATGAAATAAACAAACTTGTTCAATTCAAGGGGAAATTGGCTAAATATCTCGATAAGATTCAACAAAACAATTGGTACAGAATAGTTCCAAATCAAAACGAATTCACAAAGAAATTGAAAGCACCCGCGGCTAAGCATGCAATTCTGCTTAAACAAATATTTACCCCACGCTTAATTCATACATGCACGCATATAGGACAATAATCCCCTTGACTTCGTCTCCAGGATTATTACTGGGATACCTGTGGTAGCCCAGTCATAAAATGCCTTTGTTTTTTTGTCGTCTTTTTTTTTTTTTTTCTTTTTTTTCCTCCGCCACAAAATAGAAAAATTGCGCAATAGTACCCAGAGGTCATTGAGCCCTCAACACCATGACAACTAACTGTGATCCTATGAGGTGTTCACATGCTGATCACGTGTGCTATCTTGATGATGATTGACGTTCTCATGCACGGACAGGGCCGGGTCACATGACGAACACGAGATTTTTGCTCATAAAACTATTTTGTCAGTCGTTTTGTATTTCAACGTAATTGGATTACGATCATCTGGAGCATTATGGGGCAAACGCTCAAAATACTTATAGACGCATACACAAGTCGTATTGTTCGCGGCCAATCCACACAAAAAGACGTTATTGAGCGGTAATTTTGGATCGGACAGAATCGCGAACGCTTGAAAGCCATGAAAGCATTGAATGCCTTGTATGTCTTGTATGCCAAGTATGCCAATGTCTTAGTTGAAAACGTAAACTCGTTGTAAAAAGCAAAATCTGAAATCTGAAACCAAACTGCATATACTCTATGCAATCTATTGAACAACACTACTACCGTGAGACTGAAGAACAAAATTCAAATGGATGCAAACTGCTAGGGAAGAAAGACGACATGTTGGATTCACTTGATGCCAGTGAACGTAGCTGCGATAACAGTGCGAATGGTAATTATTTCACGATCAGAAAGGTGAATCTTATGTTTGTATTCATTGTAGTTGTATGGATATTCTTTTTTGATAAATACATGATCCAAAATCCCGTGTTTTTTGTGTATAATGTTATTATGTCAAGTATTGTTTACGTAATTGTCTTGTCACAGGTGACCCAAGGTCACGTTTCGAGAAAGAGCCAACGATTAATTCACGAACGCGTCACGCGTTGTGTGACTCAGAGTAAGTTATTCTAGGAACCGTTGAAAATTTGAACACGTTCTAAGGAATAGTATAGGGAACGAAATATGGTCGATTTACAACGATAAATATTTCGAAATATGAAGATTTTTCTCGAAAAATCAATAAAACTTACTCATACCCTGTGTATCCGTTGTAGTTTCTGGCGATTGTTGCCGTTTTAAGCTTGCTTTACCATCACTTCATCTACTTTTATTACATTGGTAAAATCTGTACAGACATCACACCAACCAACTCGTGCGCAAAGTAAGAAGACTATGTTGAAGGCTTGACATTATATTACGATCGATTTTCATCAAGAAATGGGCCAGGAATTTTCTACAATAGTGCAAATAATCGTGAAGGCTGATCGCGGAAAAGCGATTGCGTGACGCTCGGTAAGCTGTAAGATGACATGTTATTATATACCAGACGTAAAAACTCTTCAGATTCTCAGTCTGCATTTTTTACCCACTCTGCAGTCTATATTTTGTAGCCGGTCTGCAGTCTGCTGTCTACATTTTGTACTAACAGGTATCCGTGGCACAAATACAGTTTATTTTTGGTTACATTTATTCGCACAATTAACACACATAATCTACCACAAAATACCTGTGTGTGAGGTAATTCGACATTTTCATTCTTTCCCGCGTTAACAATCTTCTTTCCTTTTGTAAGAATGTAGACCACTTACAATGTTTCAAGTAATCCACCCACCCTAGAAAAAATATATCTTGCATGCATAGCATGCCTATGTTTTGAGACAGGTGTATGCCCTTGGCCAGACTTGAGCTCACTATTTCAGTATACTAGTCCGACACGCGTAGTATCACTACACTTGATTCCACGGATCCAGTACCATCCAGGTATCCCAGTTACCCTGCTCACAGGGTCTAGTTAAGCAAAATTCGCTTCGCCTTCGGCGATTTATTGTTACATATTACCTTAATCAGGCATAATACGAATAGCACGAACAATATCTTCAAACTTTCAACGAATTTTACGCCGATTCATGGTACACCATAACAACGCAGTCGAACCATTATAAATCTGGGGAAACCTGACGGTTACTTCCTACTGAAAAACCACGTAATGAATCACAACGAATATCTTATGATATCATGGATAGACAATCATAATTTAGATAGGTCTGATATTATTTTTTGGATCGTCATTTCCTCAAATTGAGCGATGGTTTTAAATCTTAACTGATGAGGATAGAGTTGAGGGTGAAAGGCCACAAAGGTATAAAAGTCGTTTTGGAACGAATTTCTTTCGTAACGTGACATAACTACATAGTGCAGGAATGAAGAACGAGGATATAATGCCACAAAGGTTTGAAAAAGATGCTCTAAATGTATATCACTACATTGGCGATTCTTTCGCCGCGTGTTATTCGAATGATAAGTAACTACAGAGCGCAAACATAAAGATCGAAATAGCTTGGGTCTTCCCAAAAAAGCATTATGGAAAGCTGTGTGATATGAAAGATTATTAATCGTACTCACCAAGATGTAGACTTCGTGGCTTTTTCTGTGACTAATTTTTTTGTAGGTATAGAAAGCTGTATACCCCTGTATTGAACATTTCTACTCGTACTTACCGAGGTGATGACCTCGTGGCGGATGCTTTTGAAAGTGAAAAGACAAAAACAATGAAGGAAAGTCGGGACTTTCCCGACAATTACACATGTGTTTGAAAAATATTAACAGCCCACTTATTTTTGTACTGAGTATTTTTAGTGGTTTCGACCGCCGAAAAGTTGCAAAGAGGAAGTTTCTTTGCTCGAACGTTCAAAGCGTAAAAGTACTCAGTACAAAGATAAGAGGGCTGTTAATGTTTTCCAAACACACGTGTTTGGATATCCTAACACGTGTGTTATTCATGGTTGCGATTTTGCATAACATCACATGACTGGATAGGCACAGGACATACACATTGACGAAATAGCATTTATTTGAGGCTTTTCCATTAAAACGTTACTCATGCAAAGTTACTTAAAATAAAAGTCTTCTGTTACAAATTTATTTGTAGATATAGAAAGCTGTGTACCCCCGTATTAAACATTTCTACTCGTACTTACCAAGTTGTTGACTTCGTAGCGCATGCTTTTGAAAGTGAAAAGACAAAAACAATGAAAGAAAGTCGGGACTTTCCCGACAATTGCCATGTTTATTTTGTTATTCAGATGAAACGGAAACGTTTTGAAGAGGCCGTGACTGTAAATATCGAGAATCGCTGGCCAGGCTAAAAAAATCGAAAGTTCTGATAATTTGCCTGGAAAACCCTTTTAGGGAGATATGTTCAAAAAATTATTTCAAAGTTTGAAAATTCAAATGTGTCCGAGAAAATGGGGAAAAACGAAAATTTGGTTTTTTACCTTATTAATTATGCAAAAAATACAGTAAAATTGACCAACTTTAGTGTGCTAGGAGTGAAGGAGGATGATTCGTAAGAAATAGGGGGTGTTTTTATTTCAAAATATAATTCATTTGATTTTTAGTTGTCGCATTTTAAGGAGCTTTGGTTTAATTTTGACGAAGTGCTGTCAAACATCGAAGGATTTTTTACGTCTTTGGTAGGCTACTGGAAAGTGCAGAAGGGCAAAGGAACACTGCGTCCTACGACTCGGCTGAATTTTTTAGTCGCCGTTTACGAAAAAACGAAAGAACTCTTGCCACTGACTCTAAGAATAGAAGAAGCCTTCCCAAATGAAGTTGAGGTGATCTCTGACCTAAACGAACTTGTTGCAACAGTTGCAAACTCTGCAAAATGACGCCGGTTTTCGTCGGGCTGATATCGGAAGAATTCTTGGATGAAAAATCATTTTTTTCTGTTCAAGACCCTACCTAAGAGGTAGCGCAAAAGCTCCCGCTGTGGACCTTTTGGAACTGACCACCATAACAACCAAACCTGGATTTTTAAACTCTAAAAAGTATGACAAGCATCCCTGTCCTTTTTATACAGGAGTCCCCCCAGGGGGGTGTTGTCCCTAGAGAAATAACAAACTGCCTGACTATTTTGAAAGAAGGGGTGGTGGGCTCTAATGGTGTAGGGGGGGGGGGCTGTTAAAAAAGGAGACCCCCCTAAACAGAGACTCGTTAGAAAGAAGGTAGTGTTAAACTAAATAGCGCTTAAACGAATTCTTTTACTTTACCATAACGCATTGAGCCATGGCACACCGTACACTCTACTAAGTATCTGCTGCGCTGCTCTTAAAGTGCGAAGAACCGGATCCACTCTTCGAATAGATTCCTGAATACTATTCGTAGAGTCAAAGTGACAAGAGTTCTTTCGTTTTCTCGTAAACGGCGACTATGTTCCTTTGCCCTTCTGCACTTTCCAGTAGCCTACCCAAAGACGTAAAAAATCCTTCGATGTTGGGCAGCCAAATCCGTGCACCTTGCATAGTGCTTCTCAAACTTCACTGATCGTCTGCCTCCATTTCCGCCATTTTGAAAATGTTAGTTTCTGGGGCTTCTTGTTTAATCTAACTTCCGATCATTTCTATTTCCGCTTCCTCATCTTTTAGTTTTATTGAACATCTCTTGGTTATATAAGGTCACGCGTGAATGAGTCAGGAAAGCAATGTGTGCTGCACAACATCGA